AGGAATCATGGTCAGGATGAGCCTGGCATGTTAAAGGCTTCAGATATGACATAAGCTTACTTGCAGACACAGTAAGCTGATCTCCATTTTGTATTGACCCTGGGTGGCAGTTTGATGTAGGGGAAGAAATGGAAAAAATTGCCTGAATGTGTTAATTCCTGTTAATTTCCTCTAGGTTCAAGGTCCCGTTCTGAGGAGTTTGCACCCTACATCACTGATCATCCAACAGACCTGGTGGTGCAGTGGGACCAGCCTGCCACCCTAAACTGCCGTGCGGAAGGGAATCCAAAGCCAACAATAGAGTGGTACCGCAATGGGGTGTACGTGAAAACAAATAAAGATGAGCTTTCTTACCAGCGCAGTCTTCTGCCTGGTGGGTCTCTCTTCTTTTACCGCCTCAACCAGCAGAAAGGCCAGTCAGATGAAGGAATATACAGTTGTGTAGCAAAGAACTACTTGGGTGTAGCCACTAGTAAAAATGCATCACTCTACATTGCTGGTAAGTAAGGTCTTAAGAGCTGGTTACTACATTCAGTACCTGGAAATGGCCATGTTGGTTTGTAGTAGAGTAGGGTTTCTTCTCAATGCTCTTCTGAGCCTGCAAAAACTGACTTTTTAGTTTAGTCTAGCTAATCAGCTGGGAAAATTATATTAGCCATAAGGCACTAATGAAGCAGAGAATTAATAACATCATTCACAAACCTAGGTTAATGTCTTGAGCACTGGTCAGGGGCAGTATCCTGGGCCTGATCTGAAGGTGCTCAGCACCTTAGACTTCCACCATAGGCAACGCATAGGGAGATAACGGGGGCATGTGCCCCCTCTAAGAGCACTGGTGCCCCCCCCTCCCCCCGAGAGCAAGTACTCTGGCTGGTAGGGGGGCATGGAGAGTGCTTGTGCCCCCTTTGAAATTGGCTCCGCTGGTGGGATGTTGGTGGTGGAAGACCTGCTGGTGCGCTCAGCGACCGGCTGCTGGGACCCTCCCCCCACCCCCGATCGTGCCCCGCTGGTACCCCCCCAGACTTGGGAGGCGTTTGTCGCCCATGACTTCCACTAAAGTAGGCTTGGGCCTATTAAGAGTTTTCATACAACAAAGCTTAAAGTGAAGGTTGTGGATTGATACTATAGCTCAGTTGCAGCTTCAAATCCATGCTTAGGCTATTATGTTGAGAATTTGAGAGGTACCTTTGCTAAAATGATGCAGCAGCAATCTGCAGTATGCCATCTCCCTAAAATATTCTGGTGACCTTGCATTTGGCTTTGGTTGGAGAAGCATGTGGCTTGGAGGATTCCCTTCCCTTCTCCTTTGTCTTTTCTGTCCCTGGACAAGAAGGCAAGCAAGCAGATTTCCTAGACTACCTGAAGATTGCTGCCCATGTGCCACCTTCCAAGTACATTGTCTCCCTCTGCCTATACTTAAGTAAAGCTTGAGGAGACCTTGTGAGCAATTGGATTGGAAAAAAATTGCTAAGATTCTGCAGGCCATCCTCCCACTGCTTACGAAGGAGCTTCCCCAAGGCCCTACTTTCATGCTGATGCATGGTAAGGTTGATAAAATTCTGTATCCCTTTGTGCACCTCAGTAGTAGTTTGCTGGATGCGTATCTGGCTGTTTTTGCCCCTGCACAATGGAAGTGGAAGCATGTGTGTGCAGCCTGAGTATGCAGTGACCAGGCACATAGGTAGCTATGTACATACATATCTGGGTGCAAGTCTTAGCTTTCCCCTGCTTTAGGCCTGATGGCTAAGTTGTTTGGGCACTGTTAGAAAACCTGGGTTCTAGGCACTGGCGACGCATAGGGGGTACACACGGGTTCACATGCACCCCCAGAGTGTGGCGGTGCACCCCCTGTGAAAAGGCATGCACCTCCTGAACGATGCACCCCACCCCTGCTCGCCACCCCCTTTTTCCCCCGCCGCTGCTATCTGCTGGCAGTCAGTGATCACTGCTGGCCACCACCGCCAGCAGTGTCTGCAGGTGGTTTCATAGTTTCAAAGATGGTAGGGTCGGAAGGGACCTGAGCAGATCATCAAGTCCGACCCCCTGCCATAGCAGGAAAGAGTACTGGGGTCAAATGACCCGGCAAGGTGTTCATCTAGCCTCCTCTTAAAGACCCCCAGGGTAGGAGCCAGCACTACTTCCCTTGAAAGTTGGTTCCAGATCCTAGCCACCCTGACTGTAAAGTATTGCCTCCTGATATCTAGTTTAAATCTACCCTCTGCCAGTTTGTGACCGTTATTTCTTGTTACTCCTGGGAGTGCTCGGGGGAACAGGGACTCCCCCAACGCCTGCTGGTCCCTTCTGACTAGTTTGTAAATGGCCACCTGATCCCCCCTCAGCCTTCTCTTGTGGAGGCTGAACAGGCTCAGGTCCCTTAGCCTCTCCTCATAGGGCCTGCCCTGCTGCCCCCTGATCATGTGAGTGGCCCTCCTCTGGACCCTCTCCATGTTGTCCACACCCCCCCCGAAGTGCAGCGCCCAGAACTGGCCGCAGTACTCCAACTGCGGCCTGACCAGTGTTGCATAGAGGGGGAGGATCACCTCCCTGGTCGGTGCTCGCCACCTCCTGCTGCCAGCACGGCGGTATCTGTGGGAGCTCCCCGCTTACCGCCTTCTGCCCCTGTGCTCATGCTGCTACCTTCGCCATGCCCCCCCAGCCACTGAGGGCATGCATCGTTCATGGTTCTAGGCACATCTCAGCAGGAGAGGGTTTGAATCTTTATCTCTGACTTCTCAGTCCAATGTTCTGAGATGCTATTCCCATGATTCTTTCAAAGCTAAGCCATTCCCCCTCACATTTAATAATCATTGAAATAAATTAATGGATAACAGTGGGAGAGTCTCTGCCTCAGTGGGATCAAGGCCCACTCACTTCTAGTGGCAGCTCTCTTACTAAGCTGCATATTTTCTACCTTGACCTTGTAATTCTGACCCTATCCTTTTTCCTCCACTGCCCAAGGAGTAGTGGAGAGGGGACTGGACAATGCCTGAGTTGTAGTGTGCTGTTTCAAGCACTCTGCTGGGAAGTCAGTGGTGCTGGCTCAAAGACCACCTCTAGGTGTAAAGGGCCTAGAACCTGGGTCTCTTGCTTCCTAGATGAATTCCTTAACCACTCTGTTATCAGGGCTAAAATATGGGAAGAATATTTTCCTCTAACAACTGTTAGCCATCAGTGTCTGACCAGTTCTGTTTCTGTGCCTTACATCCATTTATGCATCCAGTGTGAGTATATCTAGCTGTGTATCTGTCTGGCCAGTGTGTAACCTACTGGGCAAACTCAGTCTACACACTCGCAGGAGTAACAGATTCAGAACTAGCATTAAGGGAGCTGAACCAAGACTGTATCAATGGTAGAAGTTTCAGTGGCAAGTTTAATAACTTGAATCTGCATCTCTGACTTCGTTTAGAGTTTTGTTTAGTTTCGAAACCACTGTTCTGTTTTGTTTCATTGAAACTGTTTCTGTTTTGACACTGTTTCAGCGTTTCACCCATAGGCTATAATGGGGAAGCACAAAACTGCCTATAACTTTGCCATTTCTTGCCTGATTTGGATGAAACTTGCAGGGATGGTAGCCCCTTCTGAGACAATGAAGCCTGCCAAATTTCAAGGAGATAGCTGCAGGGATTTCTGGGAAACTGCACCTCAGGCTGCTGACAAGCAAAACCCATGATGTGTGACTGTGTGTGTGTTTTCTATCCTTCCCCGAGAGCACTGGAATTGAAAGGGACCTCAGGGAAGGATGATAGTCACTGGCCAGCTACACACAGTTAATGTGAGAGCAGTCCTTCCCCATTCTCTCTCTCCTTACTTTCTGTTTCCCTTCAGGCAAGCCCAGCTTGAGCTTCAAAACTCAAAATGTTTCAAAACTTTCGAAACGTTTCACCGGCCGTCATTTCGTTTCGAGGCTGTTTCAAAGCCCTTCATTTTGTTTCAATGTTGCTGTTTGAGCTCAAAATGAGTCAAAACCATCAAAATGAAACAGCTGGTGAAATTTCACACAGCCCTAGTCATTTTCTTCATACCCAGCCAGTAAGGTAGTATCCCCAGAGCTGTGAGATCCATAGCTGACCACTCTGTGTCTTCATGGTAGCAGCTGCAGAAGGACTTCATGAGGTGTGAAGCAAATGGGCTGTGCAGCTGGTCCTGGAGATGCTTAGCATTTGGAGTTTCTGTATCAAGGGAAATTCCAGCATTTCTCATATTTCCAAAGTATAAAAAATAGAACAAGGGCAAAAAATGGACACGTCCCACCCACCACATCATAGAATTAATCTGGAATTATTTGTTTTTAAATCAACATTCCACAGGACCAAATCAAAATGTTTTATTTTGAATTCAGTTAATAGAATAGATCCTTTTAAAATGAAAATAATTTTTTAAAACAAAAAAAAAATCAAGTTTCGTTCCCATATGGTCAGCCTTATTAAACCACTCCTCCCCCCCACCCCCCGCTCCACTTTTTTACTCAGTAACGTTTTGTGAAAAGTGACACATTCCTTCCAGACATCCTGTCTGAGATGTTTGATCTAGCTCCTAAGCCCTGGGGGTTTATTCCTCCCCATACACCCCCACCAGGGCTCCCACAGGTTTCCAAAAAGGAAAGAAGGAATGAAGATGTTTACCTCCTGCAAAGGAGGTGTATTGACTGGGATCTTCTCCAACCCAGTATGTGAGGACATGGATTGGTCTGAGCCATTTTCCTTCAGGCATAAATAGTTGTATGACGTAAAGATGTAGATGCATCATCCCAAGAACAGTTACTAGTTACCAGTAACCCCCAGATGGGCCTAAAGCCCATTGCCTGAAATTGCTGACCCAGGATCAACAGGTCAATTGTGTAAGAGGTTTCTAACCAAAATTCAATCACGTATAAATAGGGTGACCATAATAATTTGAGGGAAAACCAAGACAGGGGGGCACCCCTATCCAACCCCACGGTTCCCAGGACTTGGGTCAGACAGGACAGTGTGACATGTGTGCACGCACACCCCACACACAAACACACATACACACACTGATTCCACTTGTGGTCCAGTGGAGTCCAGACCAGGGAGCAGCCCAAAAATCCCGGATTGGCAGGAACCCATCCTCACATGCCTGGCTCCTGAGTCAGAAGCTGGGCACGTGTGGGCAGGTTCAAGCAAATCCAGGACATTTGCTTCAATTTTCTCCAATGGCCAGGATGCTGAGAAAGCCTCTGAAATCCAGGATGTGGGAGTAAGTGGATTAGCTCCTCCTGTTGTTGTGCCTCTGCCTGGTGAGGAGGGGGATAAAGCAGGATCCCCACCCTCAACCCAGAAGCGGGTGGGTAGTGTAGTATGGGATCATTTTGAGGTGGCAGATGATCCCAGGTATGCTACCTGCCAGCACTGCTGAAGGCAGATCAGCCAGGGCAGGGATGTGAAACACTTCACCACCGCAGCAATGCAGCTACATCTCAGGAGGCAGCACCTCTTGCCCTTGTTCCTCCTCAGCCTGGCACCAGTGGGAGCATGCCCTAAAACGAAGTCCCCCTCTCACTCCAAAGCCCCTGTCCCCAAGAAGCAGAGGCCGGCCACCCTGGACCAGTGGGGGAAAGGTGGAGGCAAAGGAAGGCATGTTTCAAAGGTGAGCAAGATCACAGAGCACTGGGGAGATGCTTGCTGTGGATGGCCAGCCCTTCGCCTTTGTTAAGTGTCCAGGGTTCAGGCGGCTCATGGCCCCATGCTACCAAGTGCCTGCACACACCACTTTTAGCAGGATGGTGGTGCTCTCCCTGTATGAGGCATGCAGGGAGTACTTGAGAGAAGAGCTGTGGAAGGCAGGTCTGCAGGTAGCCTTGCATTTCACCTCGGACATCTGGAGCAGCCGGGGTGGAGATCATGCCTACCTCTCCCTCACAGGGCACTAGTGCGATCAGTCAGGGTGTCGGTGGGCTCTTGTTCAAGTTGAGGTGATGGATGGGTCCCACATAGCAAGGAAGATCATGGTGGCCATGAACCACGTGGTGCAGGGGTGGCTTATTGGGCAGGGTGAGCTCACCTGCAGGTTCATGGTCACTGACAGTGGGGCCAGCATGGTCAAGGCGGTACGTGATGCCAACTTTGTTGGCATCTGCTGGGTGGCACACAAGTTCCACCTCATAGTCAGGGATGCCTTAGAGGGGGACAGGGCACCATTGAATACTCTACCCTTTGAGCCAAGAAGTGATCTATCCAGTTTTCTATCCCCCTTAGAGACCATTCATCCAACTCATACTTCCTTAGCTTGCTTGCAAGAATGTTGTGGGAGACTCTATCAAAACCTTGCTAAAGTCAAGGTATACCACATTCACTGCTCTCCCCTCACTCGCAGAGCCAGTCATCTCGTCAGAGAAGGCAGTTAGGTTGATCAGGCCTGACTTGCCCATGATGAATCCATGTTGACTGTTCTTAATCACCTTCTTCTCTTCCAGTCCACAGTCGAGAGACTGCGTGCAATCAGGGACTGTGAGCAGGAGATAGACTCCTATTGCCAGGCCCTTCTCCCCTGGGAGCCGGAGGGTAGACTACGGTCTCCCTCCAGGACAAGGGAGGACTTCAGGACCTCCCATTCTGTCCAGTCAGGGGGATGGACCAATGTGGTCAAGGGCCCTAAGGCCTGCCATACCAAGGCCCCTGCCCCACCAGATCTTGGCAACAGGTACGAACCTCTTGCAGCCCCAGCAGAGCCTGCTGAGTTGCCAGCTCCCACAGGCAACACAGGCTTAACTGCAGCTACCACCCCTGCTCTCCCCAAGACAAAATGTAGTGTTTGTCATGGGAGACTCCATCCTGAGGGGGACTGAGGGGGTAATCTGCCACCCTGACCCCTTAGCTCGGGAAGTCTGCTGCTTCCCAGGGGACCGTATCCAAGACATTGCGGAGAAGATCCCTAAGCTCCTCCAAACCACAGACCACTATCCCATGCTCCTTATTCATGTGGGCACCAATGACATGGCTTGGAGCGCTCCCAGCCAGGTCATGAGGTGCTACAGAGATTTGGGAGCTGGGCTAAAGGGTCTGGGGGCACAGGTGGTGTTCTCTTCGATCCTCTCAGTCTCGGGGTATGAGCTGAGGAGGGAGATCCTCAGCTGATGAGCTGATCCAGGTAGTTAACCAAAGACAGTGGCGCTGGTGTCATCGGGAAAGCTTTGGCTTCCATGACCACAGCCCGCTCTTTGGAGAGAGAGGCAGCGAGCTGCTGGAAAGAGATGTCCTCCACCTCTCTCCGCTGGGGAGGAGGCTTTTCTCAGCCAGACTTCCTGACCTGCTCCACCAGGCTTTAAACTACGCCCGCTGGGGAACGGGGGGACTACTGCCGCTGCTGGCCCGCTGAGCAATACTTGCAAAGCCAGCAGGCCAAGGCACTTAAGGGAGCCCACCCATGCCCCAGCCCTGGAACAATCTGTGGGCAAGACAAGAGCCCCCAAGGGGACACAAATGCCTGCCTGTACACAAATGCCAGGAGGTTGGGGAATAAGCAGGAGGAACTCGTCCTTCTGCTTAACACAAATAATTATGATGTCATAGGGATAACGGAGACCTGGTGGGACTCCACGCATGACTGGACCACGGGTATAGATGGCTATACCTTGTACAGGAGAGATCAAGTAGATAAAAGGGGCGGGGGTGTAGCTCGACGTTTTACTCACCAAGGTGCCCCCAGGGGTTACAAGAAATAATGGCCATAAGCTAGCAGAGAGCAGATTTAGACTGGACACTAGGAAGAACTTCACAGTTCGAGTGGCCAAGGTCTGGAACAGGCTCCCAAAGGGAGGTGGTGCTCTCCCCTACCCTGGGGGTCTTCAAGAGGAGGTTAGATAGGCATCTAGCTGGGGTCATCTAAACCCAGCACTTTCCTGCCTATGCAGGGGGTTGGACTCGATCTATTGAGGTCCCTTCTGACCCTAACATCTGTGAATCTATGAATCTACTTCTGTTCCCCTTTGGGTTCACCACCGAGCATGTGGTGCGGCGGGGGGGGCTGCACTCCTGTGAGACGCTCCATGCACCCCAGCATCACAGCGTTCACAAGCCACACTGGTACCTCGAGGTATGTAGAAAAAACATTTAAAGCTGTGGCTGTGTCCGAATCGCTGATTCACTGAATCGACATCAAATCTTCAGATTTGGATTCGGCCGAATCGGATCAGGGACAATAACCCGAATCAACTAATCAAATCACTGACCCTGATTTGGGCTGAATCCGAATCGAATAGGGCCCACTTCACACACCCTTACTGTCCAGCCATGTTCATTATGGAGCTCGGAGTGAGAATGCATGACTGGAAGAAAGAGTGACTGCCTGTCTTCTGGATTGTGCTGTGGATCTCTCAACCTCAGTCCCTGCAGGATGGCAAATGTAGCCTGTAGGTAGACTGAAAGGCAGCCTGTGCACTTACAAACATCCAAGCCAGAGCACTACACTGCTGAGTGTTCACAGATATAGGCAGAGCTCTCTGTTCTGGGATTCAGAGCAAGACATCAGTCCTAGCATGATGTGGCTAGGACTTTCCTGGGGAATCCTTCAGGGTCATCTCCTCCAGTCTGCCCCTCCAGCCCCCTGGGGAAATCTGCAAGGGGTTACATCCTCTAGGCACAGAAACGCTTTGCACAAAGGCAGGGGCAGACAAAACTCTTGGGCTAAAGGCAATATCTTTTATTAGACCAACTAAATAGTAATAAAAAAAAATTCTCCAGAGGAGAGTTCAAAGTTTGTAAAAATTCTTCCAAGTAGAAGAAAAACTTCATCTTGCACAGGAAAGATAAAGGATAGTAGTTCCCCTTGGTTTCAAAGTCCATTTGTGAAAAAGTTGCTCTGTGAATATGCAGATTAGGCAGGGACAAAGCTCCAGCAGATTTCTTCTCTAATCTGGGAAAACTTTTACAATCTTTGAGCTCTCCTCTGCCTGATGAAGGGTGTTTGGAACTGAAAGCTTGCAAAGAAAGAATTTTTTTTTGCTAGTATTTAGTTGATCTAATAAAAGATATTGCCTTTAGCCCAAGACTTTTGTGTGTCTCTGCTTTTTAGACCAACATGACTACAAGCTATATCCCTGTACACAAAGGTAGATGCTCTTGGGACAAGGAGGTTGGCAGTTTCTCTTCTTCTCCTGGCCTTTGCTTAAAAGTTTGCACACTTGCTCCGATGTAGTGGTGGGGAAGGAGCTAACTGAGCTGTGGGAGGAATTGACCTTGTTCACCTGCAACTCCAAACTGAATGTGTTTCAGTCTCACCAGAACAAAAACCTAAAAAAATGTTGTTTTGGATGAAATGGCCCATTCTTTGGGGAACGTTCAGGACCAGACTGCCACCAAGCATGGGTTCAAGTGGGGAGCCTGTCTGACCCCACAGGCCTTCCCTCAGACAGGCTGGCAAAAACTGGAACAGGATGACTTGCCAAAAGAAAGAGGTGCTGCCCAGTGGGACATGCTGGGCCAGTGTTGCAACACTGCTTCCCAACGAACCTTGGTGCCCAGATTCTGGGAGGGTGGCAGGCTCTTCCTGAGGTCTGACTCTGTCATTTGTGTCTGCTTGCAGCTCTGCAGGATGACTTTCAGCTGCATCCCAGTGACCTGGTGGTGGCAGTGGGGGAGCAAGTGCGGTTGCAATGTGCACCTCCAAGGGGACATCCTGAGCCCACAGTGTCCTGGAAGAAGGATGGAGTGCCTATAAACCAGGAGAGCAGTCATCATGAAGTAAGCTCAGCTCCACTACATCGCCTCAGACCCTTCTCTCCCTCTGCTTTGGCCTTTGCTTACTATCCTCACACTTCCTGCCTGTCAGAGTACAGGGATCATGGCATTCACCTCCTGTGGGTGCGGAGCTCCATGTGGGTGGCGGCCGCTTCCTGGGGCCATCTGTTGCCAGGAAGCCCTATGGGTGGCCCTGCTTCTGCTCCCGCTCCCACTGTTTGCCATCTGCAGGCAGCCACTGGTACCAGCACTGCTGGGTCAGGATGGGACGGGACAGCCCTACCCCACCAGGGCTGGCATAGGGATCAGAGGGTAGCCAAGGGTGACATGGAGCCCATGCCCCCTTCCCCACCTAGGCCAGCCTCAGCCCTGGCCCCAACCCCAGCTCTGGCCTGTCCTGCAGTGCTGGGGGACTGCAGCCCTGGCTGTGTGACACCTGCCTGGCAGAAGGGGCCGGTCTAGGGGCCAGGGCCAACTTCATTTCAGTGGCACTTAGGGGCCCCTGGCTTGCCTTGGACTTGCCAAGAAAGCCCAGGCACAGTTCCTGTTGGGCACAGAAAACACCTGCCCTTACTTGGTGGGGGTCCTCCAGTTTTCTGTTTGCCTAGGGCCCCAGCAAATCTTAATCCACCACTGCCTGTATGCAGGAAGTACAAAGCCAACTCGGCTTCCAGGGACCCAGCTTTGGTGTTAGGATGTAGCCAGCTTGATCTACAGCAAGGCTGTCAAAATCACCTTGCACCCTGGGCCAGATCCCACAGAGCTTCTTTTGGGCCAGATCCAGCTCAGGGCATGTACTGGTGGCCAGCCCAGCTCTAACTGGGGCCATGCAGCAGAGGCAGTGCTGCAGTTTTGGCTCCTGCTGTAGGCCATGCTCCTGAGCAGAGCTGCCACTTGCCGCATGCATTCCTCATGCTGCAGCAGCAGCTCTAGCTCTGGCAAAGGGTATGTGGTAGTGGTGGGGGTGGTGGCCAAAGTATGGGAAGCCATGGTAGTGGCAGCAGGCAAAGCAGATGGAGGGTGACTGGGCATGTATCAGCCTTTATTTGCCCTCCTACCACTGATTGCCATGTTCACCAGGGCCCAAGGGCTCCGGATTCAGCAGCAGGCCATACCTCTGGCCACCCCTCTACCAACTTCAGGTGGCTTGCTTGTAGCCCAGCGGGCTGAATAGAGCAGCCTCACGGGCCATATCTGGCCTGTGGGTTGTTTGGCACCCCTGGTCTACAGGTATTGGTGTCATTGGCACGATGCAGCTGACTTGGCTTCTAGGGTCCTGGCCCTATTGCTGGGACAGAGGCAGCCCAGAGGCCAAGGTCTTAGCTTCCTGACTAGGATGCAACTTGGCCTTTAGAGTCAAGGTACCTCTGTAAGGGTGAAGCCAGCATGTCCTCTGGGTTAAAGCTTTGTTGTGAGGGTGAAGCTAACTCAGCCCCAGGTGGACGGAGTTAGGGCCTACCTGTCTCTAGCCCAAATTTCCTCTCTCAGCCATCTCTCCTATATTCTCAGCTTGAAGGAGTTTTGCCACTGCTGCCCCTGGTCCAGGTTGGGGCAGGGGTTCAGCACTGGCCTCCCCCCAGTGCTGAGTCACTGCAGGGACTGGTTGTGTGTAAAGTTTGGGGAGGACACCAAGTGGGGCCTAACCTGCTTCTCTCCTTTCTTGCAGATCTCCAGTGGGAGGCTCCTGGTAGCTCATGCCCAAAAAAGTGACTCAGGAGTGTATGTCTGCGTGGCTTTCAACCAAGCGGGCAAGCGAGAAAGCAAGGTGGCTCTTGTCTCTGTCCTGGGTGAGATGGCTAATGCTTGTTGTTAAGTTCCTTACTTAACAGACTACTGAGACTTACTTTTCTCCAGGCCCAAAACAACAGACAGTTTTATTCAGGAACAAACAACACCTAACTGGGAAGATAAAAAAGTTACTCTGGAACAACAGAGGGTGGAATTCTAGCTCTCAAGTTCCATCCCATAATAATAAGGACTAACAATTTCACCCTATAATTGCCCAATTACTACACTTGTGTTCCCTTCTGTAGAGCATTTCCTGTTGAGTGGGTTATGCAGCTGGTATCACAACAGCTGACACTAGGAACCACTCAACTGGTCAGGGGCTGTACCTCTGACCTGCAAGACCTCTGATAGCACCTGCCCTCTTTCTGAGCTCCCCACCATGGCTGCAGGCTAGAGTTTGTAGCAGCAGGTTGGTTGCCTAAAAGCAGGGCGAGTTTCTTTCAGGACTTAGCAGCAACTCATCCTCTATCAGGGAGACAGGAGCACTTGTCAGCTTGTACAAGTGTGCCACCTCCAGGCTACCTGGGACAAGGCAGCTTTTGGATGGTGCTACTGGAGCAGAGAGCTCAGGAGAGCTGCCATGCCAGAAAGAGCCCCTGCCTGCATTGGCTTTTGGGAGGGAAGGGAGATCCTTCCCAGGTACTCTGGCCCTGCCCCTATTGAAGGGATGCAGGAGAACCCCTGTATTAAGGCCCAGGAACATGCAGGGAGAAAAGTGGAGAATGTGCCCTGAGATCCTTCCATCACTCTGTACCCAACTTTTCCATTCTGGAACATTGCTGTCCTCTGGGCCCCTTCTCTGGGACTGGTACTCTGGTTCATCTGAAGAGACTCATTCTTCCTGAGCTTCCTCAGGGCCTTCTCTGGTCACAGCTTCACCCTGAAGGCCCCCTGCTCTGGATCCTGATCACCTATTGGAACACTTCAGAGGCTCTCAGCAGCAATCCCTGGGCTCCATCCAACTGGAAAGATTCTTGTCATAACCACAAGAAACCTCTACCTGGCCAAGTGGTTTATATACATGAGTGTTTTCTCTTGATAACTGCTTTCCCTGGAGAAGTCACCCAGCCATTTTCAGGGAAATGTCTCAGTTTCCAAGCTCAGATTCCAGGGAGGGTTGCAATTGCTTTGCATACTGCTCACTTCCTCCCACCTGTAACCAGATTTGCCTGTGACCAGATGGGAAATCATTTCCAGATGTATACATACAAAACTGGGGCCAGGGTTTGAGTCAAATCAGCTTCCCCACAACTTCCTGGAAACATGCTTCCTCTTCTCCCTGAACACTATGTGCGGGCCGGCTCCCGGTCCCATCCTCGCCGGGCGCGAGCCGGGCCCGTCTGTGTGCATGCGGGCTGTGGCCGGCAGCCCAGGCACGCGGGGCCAGAGAAAAGTCGCGGGGTGGAGTAGTACGCTCGAGCTAGAATCAGTCACGGAGGCGTAATGGTTGATTGAAAAGATTATTTACTTACGCCAGAGATGGTCGCGGTGTAGGCTGGTCAGGTTTCCAGGCTCAGCTCCGCTTGAGTTCCCGGTGGAGGACTCTAATAAACTCGGTTCCTTGACCCCGGAGTGAATCAGGCTCCGCGGGGTTCAAGAATTCGTTCCCACGGAGCAGCTGTATCTCCGTGAGTGTTACTCAGTTCCCAGGATCCTCAGAGTGGTTTAGACTCTGTGGTTTCGATAACTGGGTTCTAGGGTAGGGATTCGTCTGGGCTGCGATTGGTGACGGGGAGAGGCTAGAGGCCGTCGGTAAGTGGTGCCCCGGAGTTTGCTAGGCTCCGGGGGTTCGGCAATTGGAGCCTCTATCGCCTTCTTAAGAAAGATGCGCTGGGTTCGAAAGGACCCACAGCGCGTAGAGATCCGTCTCTCCGTCTCTCTCTGTCTTTCTCTCCAACTTGGGCTACGGCTAGCAAGCCAATAGCTAGCCGCCACGTGTGCCTAAATTAAGACCGGCCAATAATGTGGCTCAAATCTCAATACAAATGGCGGGAAAACTCCATTGCAGCGTGCATCACTAAATGCAAAAGTAATGCACAATGCAAAGAAGGCTACAGAACAGCGGGAAACACTTTTCTGCACGCGGGTTCTCCATAACAACAGAACACTCCGTCGTGCAAAAGAGCTCCAATTCGGCGGGAACATAATTTAGCGGTGCCGAAGCACACACAATTAAAAAATCCACAACTTTGGGTTGTGACACTATACAATCAAAATGGGAATGACCCACGCTTTGTCCCAGGTTACACTGGAATGAAGAAATTCCAGTATTTTAAACTGTGAAGCTTGTGGTAGAGGAAGTTGTCTCATTGCAGGAACCAAGGGAGCCAGATCATAACCAAGAAAACGAGAAAAACAAACTGTTTGCCTGTTACCACAAGTGACACCATGTTTACTGGCTAGGGTTCAGTCCCAAACATTCAGGTCTCCTGCAATTGCTGTCTTTCCCGTAGCCCAGTCCCACAAGGAGACTGGACACGCACAGTAGATTACACACCTCTGCAAGGCAGTTCTAGGTCCTTGTTGAGCAGGAATCCTGGGTTCTGGCCTGGGTCTGAGGCTGGATTGTGATGTGGTAGCTTGGGAAATGTTAACCAAAGTGTATAAATTTTGCATCTAAAGTGTACAAGGTAGTATGACCAAAGTTGGGTTTGCCATGTTAATGCTTTAGAGTGTGCGTAGAAGTGCTCCATGCATGTTTTACAGTGCAGTAATTTAGAGCACTTTCTATAGCACTATAAAATTACAGTGCTCTTAAACAGGACAGAAGTGCAGTGTTTGATTGGGGGGGATCCTCTGAGCCCCCTGCACTTTTCAGGCTAGTAAGCAGCGATTGCATTGCAGCCTCTTGAGGCTTCTCCGAGGTCAGAAATATGACCAGTGTACAGAAGTTATGAAAGTGCTGTAGGTTGCTAAATTGCTGTAAAATACAGTGCTTCAAATGTAATACTTCATTTAACAAGGGTTAATGTAAAGCACTGCACCCATTTTTAAAGTGCTGTAAAGCTGTGTACTTCTGTGCTTTGGGGGGGCCTGTGGAGCCAGGCAGGGCAGCCATGGCCCCTCCCACAGGGCCCGCCTGGTGCTGGTGGCTCTGCTCCATGCTGCAGAAGAAGTGTTAAGACCCTCCTCCCTGGGTGCGGCGGAGACCCTGGCCTGTGCCCTGCCTTTGCAGGTGTCCCACAGGCCCTGTGCAGTGTTAAGGGGGCCCCACACAGGCTGATTTGCCCCAGGCCCTGCACCTCTCTAGGGTCAGCCCTGCTCATACATATGACGGATCTCCGCTCCCGTGCGTTGGAGCAGACTTGATTAACTGAGTCTGCTGCGAGTCTGCTGGAACATGCTAAGTAGCAGACTCTGGCAGCCTCCATGTCACACGTATTCAATGTCCCCACATTTCAAGGTGGCAGCGAGGACGCTTTAACTAAAACTCATCGAACAAGCTTTAGTTAAAGCACCCCCGTCACCATTTTGAAACATAGGATACTGAATACACATGATGCTGTGGGCACTTTAATTAGAGTGGCTCTGAGAGCACTTGTATAGATGCCCCATGAGCCCCTGTCTCCCATCTCAAGCAATTGCTCAACTCACTATGAGCACTTGCTCTATCCTACTTGCAGACCATTGTCTGGCTGAGCTCCCCTCCATAGGAGTCCACTTGGGAGGGAAGAAGTGATAGGAGGATCTGAGAGCTTATAAGCAATTTAATCCTTTGATGGCTGGCTTAGCATGCTGCCTTTCCTTCCTGAGGATAGCATCATCTCTCCATGCTAAGGGCAAAGTGGTGGTCCCAACCCATGGCTTATTGTAGTAGCATAATGAGCAGTGGGTGACCGGGGCAGAAGCCACAGGTGCCCACTTGGAGGGGTGCAAGAACAGCAGCCACTCCTGTTGCCTACCCAGCCTCCTCACCTCTGCAGCTGGCCAGTGCCTGCCACCACTCCTGCCTTGGGCACAAACCCTGGCTGTTATGCCTCTGGCTCATGGGCAGCAAGTTGCCCATAAAGGCCTCTAACACTGCTCGTAGCCACAGGGGAGAGCAAAGTCTGCTACTACCTGCAGCATATTTCTTGTAGAGTTGTCCAATGGTCAGCAGAGGTTGACACCACTTGTCTAGGTTAAGGGCAAGGTCCATAGATGTGAATGTTGCAGCTGGTGGCACCCCTGATGTCCAGAGCAACCTACCTCTCTGCCATCACTGTCTACCCGCTTCTCCCACAAGTACTGCACATGCTGGTAAAGGGCAGAGGCTTCCCCAGGCAGCCCTATGTGCAAGGGGTTGTGGGGATCCGATTCTGCAGCATGCAGTACTTACTAATTTGTGTGGTCCAAGTCTCTTTGTGGCTAATGTGTGATGGATCTCTGCTCCTTCCCTTCTTAGAGAAACCAACATTCACTCAAAGACCCACCGATGTTGTGGCCAAATTTGGCAGCAGTGTCCAGTTTACATGTGGCGTTCATGGCGACCCACTGCCTAAGGTGTGGTGGCACAAGGAACATGGGAAGCTGCCCGTGGCCAGGTGTGTGCTGTGTGTTCGGTCTGTGAGCCCAGCTAGCACTGTACTTAGCAAAGGTTTATCAGACTGTGTAGCCCAGAGGGTCTCAAAGCAGTTGACTAGCCCTGACTAGCTACCCTAGGCCCATTGCTGGGAGGTGGGGCCAGCTGCAGGGAACCTTGGAGCCTGCCCTTCAGGCCAGCTCTGAGGAGAAAACTACACCCGTTTTATATAGCAGCGGGAGGAACTGGTGGCAGCAGAACTGTCCTGGCTCCATACTAGCTGGGGGTCGAATGAGTGGGGCTGCTGCCTGACATTGCAGCCACTGACTATGGCCAGAGAAGGGTCTTAGAATTGCTGGGCTGTTGAGTTCGATGCATGGAGGGTGGATGTGGGAATATGGTTCCATTTGCATGGGTCTACCAAAAACTTCATGATGCATGGACAGCCTGAAGGAGAGTCCCACACAGATACACGCTCCCAGCCTTCAAGGCTCAGAAGCTTGCATGCCCATCTCCTGTTTGTGCCTGGTCCAGATATATGAGCCATATTTGTTACAGGATTGGCTGAGATCAGGGCCCTGTTATGCCATGTGAATATAGAGTGGCACAGAGACCTGGTCTCAAAAGCTGATGGAGCTTGTCTATGTCTCACCCTGCCAGGCATGAGGTAGATGAGGAGCACACCTTGTGGATCTATTATGTCACAGCACTTGATTCAGGCAGGTATATCTGCACAGCCCAGAACCAGGTGGGAACCACTTTGGCCTGGGCCTCACTCTCTGTGCAAGGTAAGCAACGCAGCCTTCAGCATGACAACACAGAAGGACTAGGCATGCCTGCAGACATAAAGAAGGGCTTGTCACAACAAGGCCTGTGGCCAGCATGTGCTGGAGAGTAGACAGCATGCTGAGGGGGAGGAGGGGTAGAGAGTTGTCACCTGCATCACCTGCGACAAGCAGATGTAGCTGACATCCTTTTCTTTCAGAGCACAACTCCCCTCTACCCACTGGTCCCCATGGCTCTGGCCGTCTCTCCCTTTCTGAGCTGACCTGGAGGGACCCTCCTCTTCCCTCCATAAGAGTCTATATGCTAGAGTACCAGCATCTGGGGAGCAGCAGGCAAATGCCTTACACCATCCTAAATGTGGTCTTACAAAGACTAATAAACCCCTTTGTGTATCAGTCCCCCATCATGGGGACACATGCTCTGGGCCACAGGTTTGGGGTGGAGGTAGCTCTTGGATCTCAGTTGAGAGAGAGTGCCCCAGAGAATTCCCTTCTGTGTGCTTACAGAGCCTGATTCTGCAGACACAGGACAGCATCCTTGTTCAGAGAAGCAGGGATACGAGCAAGTGGAGAAGATGGAGAGGGTCCAGAGGTTGCCAACAGACATGATAAAGGGGTTGGAAGGAAAGCTGCATGAGGACAAGTTAAGAGGTATGTTTAACTTGGAAAAAAGGTAATTGAAAGCACCCAGGATAGCAGTCTTCAAATATTTGAAAACCTGCGTAAAGAAGAGGGAGAACAGCTGTTCTCGCTTGCTAGAGAGCAGGACACAGAGCTCTGGTTTAAACTGTAGCAAAGCAGATTTAGATTAGATCGTGAGGAAAAACTTCCCTATGGTTAGAGCAGTGAGGCAGTGTGATAGACTGCCCAGCAGCATTGTAGAATCTCCTTCACCTACTGATGAAGCTTTTCATACTGACCATCTGCTGGAGGTTTTCAAGAGGAAGCTGGATAAGCATTGGCCAGGGATAGCTGAGGAAAAGCATTCATGCATTCCTGAAGGGGGTTGGACCAGGTGACCATGAGAGCCCTTTCCAGTGCTGTGACTATGGCAGAGCTGAAGTGATGCAGCTGCACCAGTAGGTAAGGCTATGTGACTCTCCCCCCTTACCTGCTGCCCGTTCCAGCACTTGCCTCCTCCCCATGCCTCCATGTGGATTTGCTTGTTGCAAGTCAGGTGGAAAGCCTGTGAGAGCATGCCCTGTTAGGATTGGGTGTTTGATTGGTCAAATAATATGTGGTCAATTGATTGGTCAAATATTCTAAGTATTAATTTATTAGAAGAGTGAAGAGAGACTTCAATTTTCAGTGGGTTTGGTATTTATGCTAATTACAAAGAACAAGTTAGTTAACGGTACTTGTGAAATTAAATTCTAAAAAAATATAATGAATTTCTATAACTATCGATATTAGGTAAGTGCAGCTTTGAATGATGATGAAAGCTGAACAGTTCTGCCTTTCCTTGGCTTTTATTCTGAAACCCCAGGATTAAAATTAAAAAAAAGTATCTACACAGAAATTAAACACACAGTAACTGTAAAAGACACAGGTCTATTGTTAAAATGCAGTGATGCTAAGTAGTCAGAAAGCCAACTCTTCAAGCACTTTGCTGTTTGCATTTGGGGATGCCTGCAGTTACAGCAGATGATCAGTAAGAGATTTTCTATGCTGATGGTTTTCATATGTTTCATAGATGTTAGGACTGGAAGGATTCTTCCCCAGCTATGCTTGCTAGCTCGTGGGGGAAGAGGGAGAGTGAGGGCCACATATCTTGCCTCCTCACCGAGGGGTAGTGGGCAGGGGCACCTACACCCTTCAGGACCCAGAGGACTCCTTCCAAGGGGAAGTCTTACTCCTCTTGGTCCCATGTGGGCATAGGTGCCACCATACAATATAACAATGAGCCCCTGTCTAAACCTTGTAGAACAACGGGCCCTTATAGGGACCCCAATGACACAGCAGCCAGCTGCTGCATTCACCAAGCATCCTGCCCTCTCTCCTAGGCTCTCAGTCCCAGAAAGCACAGAGCTCCAGGGATCGGGGATGGCTTCACCCTTGATGTGCAGCTGGTCAGGGAAACTGAGGATAGGAAAAATACCCAGCTGTTTAACCACCTGAATCCCCAATCCAGCAGAAGCCTGGGACCATCTGTCAGGATGTAACTGTTTGAGAGACTCTCTGGTCTGGAGTGGTCAGTGCACGAGGGACCTTGGTACTGGGGCCCTACCCTGCTTTTTAACCAGGTGTCTTAGGGGGAACCTGCGGGAGCTGCATTTGGGGCTGGTGTTGCCAATGAAAACTCCCAACATCCATGCCCCATCTCAGAAGGACTAGAATGACTGGCTAGCCCAGGGTCCAGAGACGACTCTTGCTCCTTTCTCTGTCTCTAGGCCCCCTGGACACAGGCCAGAGGGAGGATGTCCCACATGAGCTATCAGGCATCTATCTGCACCTGGATAATAGCACAGTGCTCCCTGCCTCCTCTGCTGTCCACCTGCACTGGAAGGTCAGTAAGCAGCACCCCTGGCACTGATTGCAGGGGAGTCCTGGCACAAAGTGGCTGTCATCAAGCATTGGGTGTCCTTTCCACCCATCCCAGGTGCCAGGGGATGGGGTGGCATCTCAGGGTGTTGGATGCTATACTCACTGGGGCTGAGCTGGGAGGGGAGGGGCCCTTGAGGAGTCTCTTTAACAGTGTGTGAAAAGTGATGAATCGAGCATGCTGAACTAGTCCTGCTGGAGCCAGGGGTCTAGCCATGCCAAGCAGAGATTGGGCTAGAAAATCTGTTCCAGCAGCAGAACTCTGCTCCCTTCCACCTGGGCTCCCCATTCAGTGCTGCCCCAGCCTCACTTTCCTGTTTCCTCCCCTGCTCCTGTATTCTGCTGGGGCTTCCACTGGTCTCAGAGCAGCCCAGAGGTGGATCCATACTGTCCTACTGGATGAAAGGCTGGTTCCTGGCCATGATATATCTTCATTTCTGTTGTAGGGCAGGGAGGGAA